ATTCAGGACAAACTACTGAGAAACAGAACAGACACACCCCAAAACTGGTGGTTATTCTCCCATAAGATATACCAAACCAGCAACAAAAGTAAACTTCTGTTTCACCGCACTGGCTAACAGGAAGTCAGAAAAGCAGTCTCCTTAGACATCCCAGTCCTTGTATCACCACCAAAAACACTAGACTTAAAGATGAGTGGTTATTTAAAACCAATTTAATCAAACAAAAGGTTCTTCTGATCCCAAAGGACCAGCCACATACCCAGGTCAATATATAACTCAGATCTTACCCAAAAATCATGTCGTTGCCAATCCTTTAGTATCTAATATCTAAAGGTTTATTTATAAAAAGAAAGAAAGAAAGGTGAGAGTTAAAATTGGTTAAGAAATCAAATGCATACAATAATTGCAAAGTTCTTGGATCAGGCTTGTAGCAGTGATGGAATAAACTGCTGGCTTGTTAAGTCTCTGGTTGCTTTCAAATCATTGGAAGGTCCTCAGTCCTTTGGTTAGAATGCTCCCATTAGTGTAAGTTCATAGTCCAGAGGCTTGAGCAGGAAAGGAGTCTACTTGTATGACTCATATTCACAGGAAGGAGGACAGAGCAACAAATGTTTTTTGTCCTCTTGTTGATGGTACACAGTGAAATTCCAGTTGCAATGTCCACAATAGTCTGTCTGGTATTGATGAACCTTTTGTTTTGAGAAGGGCTTAAGAATTTCTGTTGAAGGTCAGCCCTTCACACTAAATGATCTCTCTCTCTCTCGTCTGGTGATTTACACAGTCTCAGAGGCTCACAGTACCGCTGCTCAAATATTACGTTATTAAATTGTAGAATCATAGAAGTGTAGGACTGGAAGTGACCTCAAGAGGTTTTCTAGTCCAGTCCCCTGAACTCAAGGCAGGACTAAGTATTATCTATACCATCCCTTAATGGTGTTTGTCTAACCTACTCTTAAAAATTTCCAGTGACAGAGATTTCACAACCTCCCTATGCAATTTATTCTAGTGCTTAACTACCCTGACAGTTAGGAAGCTTTTCCTAATGACGAACCTAAACCTCCCTTGCTGCTATCTAGGCCCATTGCTTCTTGTCCTATCCTCAAAGGTTAACAAGAACAAATCTTCACCCTTCTTCTTGTAATAATCTTTTATGTACTTGAAAACTGTTATGTCCCCCCTCAGTCTTCTCTTCTCCAGATTAAACAAACCCAATTCTGTCAATCTTTCCTCATAGGTCATATTTTCTAGACCTTTAATCATTTTTGTTGCTGTCCTCTGGACTTTCTCCAATTTGTCTACATCTTTCCTGAAATGTGGCATCCAGAATTTGGACACTAGAGGCCTTATCAGTGTGGAATAGATTGGAAGAATTACTTCTAGTGTCTTGCTTACAACACTCCTGCTAATACATTCCAGAACAATGTTTACTTTTTTTTTTTTGCAGTAGTGTTACACTGTTGACTCATATTTAGCTTGTGATCCACAATCACCCCCAGATCCCTTTCAGCCGTACTCATTCTTAGGAAGTCATTTCCCATTTTGTATGTGTGCAATTGATTGTTCCTTCCTAAGTGGAGTACTTTGCATTTGTCCTTATTGAATTTAATTCTATTTAATTCAGACCATTTCTCCAGTTTTTCCAGATAATTTTGAATGTTAGTTGTATTTTCCAAGCAACCTCTCCCAACTTGGTATCATCCACAAATTTTATAATGTACTCTCTATTCCATTATTTAAATCATTTATGAAGATCCTGAACAGAACCAGACAGGACCTATCCCTGGAGGACACCACTTGATACAGCTTGACTGTAAACCACTGATAACTATTCACTGGGAACGGTTTTCCAACCAGTAATGCAGCCACCTTATAAGTAGCTCCACCTAGGCTATATTTCCCTTATATGGGATGCAGATGTTATAAATGAAATTAATATATGCAGGATCTTACAAACATTTAATAAAATCTAAACACATTCTTATTCTAATACCTGTTATAACCATAATAACAAACAGATGAGCCAGGCTGATTCCAGCTATGCATTGGTCAGTTGAGACATGGGAACCCTGGCATGAGCTGTCCTGGTGTGCCAGTGTCACACCCCCAATGAAAAACCGGTGTAGGAAGGGATGTCATTGATACTCCTGACTAAGCCTCATAATCCACCATCCATGATAAGGCATCTGCCACTACATTTTCTTTTCCCTGGATATACATTATTTCTGTGTCATACTTCTGTAGTGCTAGGCTCCTGCATAGTAGTCTCAAATTCGTCCTATTGGCCCTGTGCAACCAAATTAACAGGGAGTGGTCCATTAGAACCTTAAATTTTCTAGTAGGCAGATAAGGCTTAAGTTGTTTAGCAGCCCAGACTATGGCACAACATTCCCTCTTGATGACATCATAGTTCTGTTACATGTGGGTCAGTTTTTTACTTAAAAAGGCAATGGGGTCGCTGTTGTCCCCAACCCAGCCTGCATTAGCAATGCATGTAACCCAATATCAGAAGTATCAGTGCACAGCACAAGGTTTGCTGAAATCAGGGATAACTTAAACTGGCAAAGCCTCTTTTATGCCCTTGAAGCCTTTCTCACAGACCTCAGTCCATATCACCCAGTATGGTTTTCCCTTTTTTATAAGGTCTGGTTGTGAGGCCACAATGTTGCTAAACCCCTTTACAAACCTCTGGTAATTACTCGCCAGAGCAATAAACCTGTTTCTTGGTTCATGGGCTAGTCTTGGTTCTTGGACCTGCTTCCTGCTTCGTGGGGCAGGCCAATTCCCAATGGCTTTTACTTTTAGAGGAGCAGGGCGAACAAACCCACTGCCCATCCTGAATCCTAAATTAAGTACTTCTGCTGCCCTCATCTTGCATTTGGACACCTTGACAGTGAGCTTGGCTTCTCTAAGCCTCTCCAATGCAATTTCCACATGGTTCAGGTAGTCCTGATCTATCACCACCCAGTGCATGAACCTTTGTCATAGCTGGTTCCTTAAACCAAGAAGCACAGCAAGGTTTATGTTATTCCCAGTCCCAAAGGACCAGTCACTTACCCCAGCTCAATTGTACCTTAGATCTCACACCAAAGACAACACTGTAACTAATCATACAACAAACTCTATAAAGAGTTATTAAATAGGAAAGTGAAACACAACAGTTATTAATAAGGTTAAAGCAGGTAAACATATGCACAAAAGACATACAATCAATTTTCAAAAGAAAATAACAGCTAAAATTGACAAGCTCTATGTATGATTTAGGACTAATCCAGGCTAAGCAACTAGGGATCTCTTGCTTATGTTTAGAAAAGTTAGCCCTCCCACTCCCAAGTAGAGATAATAATTTCCTTTTGTTCTGGGTTTTTATTCCCCTCCTGCCATGTCTCTGAATGGCAAACATAACTAATGGGAGAAGTCCCCTTGCATGATTCATCTTCACAAGGAGGAGGACAGAATAACAAAAGTCTTTTGTCCTCTTGTTGACAGTGTGCAGGGATCTTCCAGCTGCAGGGTCCACAATTGTCCATCTGGTATAGATGGACCTTTCCTTTTTGGAAGGGTGTAACATCTTCTGTTGAAAATCAGCCCTTCACATTAAATGATGTCTCCCCCTTGTCTGGTGATTTACACAGTCACAGACGCTCACAATACAACCATTCAAATATTGCTTTACAATATGGGGTGCAGATATTATAATGAGATAAATGCATGCAGCAACTCACAAACCTTCAATAAAGTCTAAACTTTAAACACGTTCTTTCATCCTAATACCTGTTTTAACAATACTAACATAACATATGAGTGAGTCAGACTGATTCTGGCTATCTATTGCCAGTGTTCAATTGAGACATGGGCACCTTGGCATGAGATGCAACCTGGTCTGCGAGCATCACAGTAATTCTTAGATGTATAATGAGAATAATATCAAGGGATGATAACTCCTGAAAGGGGTACAGTAGTCTGGACTTCAAAGCAAGAGAGTTCAGACACATAAATTCAGTAGCCATAGAATTTACTTTTTTTAGTTTCTGGTTCCGAATTCTCAATTGTATATATTTTGTTGTCTCATCCTGGGGCATATTTTGCGTTCATTTACGTAGATGTGAATTTGGAGTAATAATAACATTTAGCACCTAAATAACAATTTTCATCCATAAATCTAAAATGTTTGCAAAAGTACATAATCAGAGAGGTATCCTCCTTTACCAACTGATCGACTAAAGTATGGAAAACATAAATTGCTAGACAACACCAGACAATGGCAAGGACATAGTATAGCTTAGGTCTCATGATTCCTAATACTGTGTATTATCTATTGGACCAGACTGCCCCCTTCACTTTAGACGAATTCCTATCCCTTTACATTGCTGTAACTGAGATTAAAATCTGGCTTTGTGTATGGAAGAACAGCAAATCTATCACATATTACAGGAATTCAGGGAAGCTTTGCTGCATGGGTTTGGGTTTCCAGATAGAAAATTTTCCTTCTTAGAAATATAAGTAATGACGCTTTTATTCGTAATTAAACCGACTTGTTACTGAATATACAAAACTCACAGAAAACAGAGGGGAGTGGGCGTGTATCTTACCACTCATTTTTACCGATTCTTTTAACTTTTTCCGATACATAGGATGGTTTTCTCTAGTCATCTGTTTTAGGACTTTCATTATGCTCTTTAGACATGAGCGTTTTGATGAGACCAACCAGTTGCAGTTCTGTAACTCAGACTCAGAGTGCCGCTGTTAGCCAGTGCAGAGCTGGAGCTGCAGCCGGATATCCACTAAAGCCTCCTGCACTGAGCTTGCTCAGTCAGCGATTACACAAACCTACATACAGTTCGCTGTTGAGAGACACCCAGTCTCAAAACTCTCCTGGAAAATTAGATTGAGATGGTAATTTTATTTACTCTCCAACACCGTGGATTTTGACATTCTAACGGGGATTTAAAGCACAAAATCGAAGTGGAATAAATAAGAAAATAAAAGCAAGCCTGAGTGGGATGGAAAACAGGCAGAGACCGAGCGGCCAAGCAGTCACACGGCAAGTACTTTTGTTTCCCTTCTTATTCTCTTTGTTCTGCCGGGCGGTCTCGGGGCATATTCGTTACTCCATTCCTGAGGAAATGGCCAAAGGTTCCCTTGTGGGGAACCTCGCCAAGGATTTGGGATTGGATGTCAAAGAACTGCCGCAGCGGAAGCTCCGGGTCAGTTCTGAAAAGCAGTATTTCAGTGTGAATGGGAAAAATGGCAACCTGTATGTGAATGGCAGGATAGACCGTGAGGAGATATGTGGGGAGACACCCCTTTGTGTCCTGACATTCGAAACGGTGGTTGAAACCCCTTTAAACATTTACAACATGGATATAGCAATTCAGGACATTAATGATAACGCCCCGAGCTTCGACGAAAATAACGTTGTGTTAGAAATCAATGAATTTACACTGCCAGGGGCGCGCTTTCCACTCGAATCGGCACAAGATCCAGATGTGGGACTGAATTCACTGCAAAATTACCGGCTCAGCCCAAATCAGTATTTTATCCTGGCAGTGAAGGAGAATGCAGATGGCAATAAATACGCAGAATTAGTTTTAGACAGACCTTTGGATCGGGAGCACCAGACTTCTCATATCTTGATCTTGACGGCTGTGGATGGGGGGGACCCTGTGAGAACTGGGACCGCTCAGATTAACATTAAAATCACTGATGCCAATGACAATCCCCCAATATTCACTGAAGAGATCTACAAAGTCAGAGTAAGTGAAAATCTAGCCAAAGGCTCCGTAGTGGTACAGGTGAAAACAATGGATAAGGATGAAGGATTATATGGAGAAATCAGTTATTCCGTCAGTAATGCCCCCAAAAATGTCCTGCAGTTATTCAAAATAGATCACGAAAATGGAGTAATAACAAATACAGATATTCTGGATTTTGAAGAGACGAATAAATATACGATGGGAATTAAAGCCAGGGATGGGGGTGACCTGACTGGCCACTGCAAAGTTCAAATAGAAATTATTGACGAGAATGACAACGCCCCCGAAGTAACCCTTACATCCGTGTCCAGTCCTATCCCTGAAGACTCAGTGGCCGGGACAGTGATAGCTCTTATAAGAGCCCGTGACCGAGATGCAGGAGAAAATGGAAAAATCACCTGTCACCTTCAACACGACTTGCCTTTTAAAATACTGTCCTCCTCTCGTAATTACTACAAAATAATCACAGACAGCACCCTGGACAGAGAAAAGATCCCAGAGTATAATATTACAGTTACCGCCGCAGACAAAGGCACCCCCCCCCCTCCGCCCAGAAAATCATCCTGTTGCAGATCTCGGATATCAATGACAACGCCCCTGTCTTTGAGAAACCTTCCTACACCGCCTATGTGCCAGAGAACAACCCCTCCGGGGCCTCTATTTTCAGTGTAAAAGCCTCAGATCGGGATCTGGACCGGAACGCCCGAGTCACTTACTCCATCCTGAGCAGCAACCTCGAAGAGGTGCCTCTCTCCTCCTACATCTCCATTAACTCCCAGACCAGAGCGATCTATGCGCAGCGCTCCTTCGACTACGAGCAATTCCGGGAGTTTGAGCTGCAAGTGAAGGCCCAAGACGGCGGGTCCCCGCCTCTCAGCAGCAATGTCACCGTCAGGGTGTTTATTGTGGATCAGAATGATAACGCCCCTCGCATCCTGTACCCTTCGCTCGGAGCCGATGGCTCCGCCTTGTTCGAGATGGTGCCTCGCTCGGCCGAGGCAGGTTCTCTGGTGACTAAGGTGGTGGCGGTGGATGCTGACTCAGGACACAATGCCTGGCTCTCCTACCACGTGCTCCAGGCCACGGACCCGTCGCTCTTCAGCATGGGGCTGCAGAGCGGGGAGATCCGGACAGCCCGCGCCTTTGCGGACAGAGATGCTGTGAAGCACAGGCTGGTCACCCTGGTGAAGGACAACGGGCAGCCGCCTCTGTCCGCCACAGTGACTCTCAACCTGGTGTTTGCCGAGAACTTCCAAGAGGCTTTTCCGGAAATCATAGAATCATAGAATATAAGGGTTGGAAGGGACCCCAGAAGGTCATCTAGTCCAACCCCCTGCTCGAAGCAGGACCAATTCCCAGTTAAATCATCCCAGCCAGGGCTTTGTCAAGCCTGACCTTAAAAACCTCTAAGGAAGGAGATTCTACCACCTCCCTAGGTAACGCATTCCAGTGTTTCACCACCCTCTTAGTGAAAAAGTTTTTCCTAATATCCAATCTAAACCTTCCCCACTGCAGCTTGAGACCATTACTCCTCGTTCTGTCATCTGCTACCATTGAGAACAGTCTAGAGCCATCCTCTTTGGAACCCCCTTTCAGGTAGTTGAAAGCAGCTATCAAATCCCCCTCATTCTTCTCTTCTGCAGGCTAAACAATCCCAGCTCCCTCAGCCTCTCCTCATAACTCATGTGTTCCAGACCCCTAATCATTTTTGTTGCCCTTCGCTGGACTCTCTCCAATTTATCCACATCCTTCTTGAAGTGTGGGGCCCAAAACTGGACACAGTACTCCAGATGAGGCCTCACCAATGTCGAATAGAGGGGAACGATCACGTCCCTCGATCTGCTCGCTATGCCCCTACTTATACATCCCAAAATGCCATTGGCCTTCTTGGCAACAAGGGCACACTGCTGACTCATATCCAGCTTCTCGTCCACTGTCACCCCTAGGTCCTTTTCCGCAGAACTGCTGCCTAGCCATTCGGTCCCTAGTCTGTAGCTGTGCATTGGGTTCTTCCGTCCTAAGTGCAGGACCCTGCACTTATCCTTATTGAACCTCATCAGATTTCTTTTGGCTCAATCCTCCAATTTGTCTAGGTCTTTCTGTATCCTATCCCTCCCCTCCAGCGTATCTACCACTCCTCCCAGTTTAGTATCATCCGCAAATTTGCTGAGAGTGCAATCCACACCATCCTCCAGATCATTTATGAAGATATTGAACAAAACCGGCCCCAGGACCGACCCTTGGGGTACTCCACTTGATACCGGCTGCCAACTAGATATGGAGCCATTGATCACTACCCGTTGAGCCCGACAATCTAGCCAGCTTTCTACCCACCTTGTAGTGCATTCATCCAGCCCATACTTCCTTAACTTGCTGACAAGAATACTGTGGGAGACCGTGTCAAAAGCTTTGCTAAAGTCAAGAAATAATACATCCACTGCTTTCCCTTCATCCACAGAACCAGTAATCTCATCATAAAAGGCGATTAGATTAGTCAGGCATGACCTTCCCTTGGTGAATCCATGCTGGCTGTTCCTGATCACTTTCCTCTCATGCAAGTGCTTCAGGATTGATTCTTTGAGGACCTACTCCATGATTTTTCCAGGGACTGAGGTGAGGCTGACTGGCCTGTAGTTCCCTGGATCCTCCTTCTTCCCTTTTTTAAAGATTGGCACTACATTAGCCTTTTTCCAGTCATCCGGGACTTCCCCGGTTCGCCACGAGTTTTCAAAGATAATGGCCAATGGCTCTGCAATCACAGCCGCCAATTCCTTCAGCACTCTCGGATGCAACTCGTCCGGCCCCATGGACTTGTGCACGTCCAGCTTTTCTAAATAGTCCCTAACCACCTCTATCTCCACAGAGGGCTGGCCATCTCTTCCCCATTTTGTGATGCCCAGCGTAGCAGTCTGGGAGCTGACCTTGTTAGTGAAAACAGAGGCAAAAAAAGCATTGAGTACATTAGCTTTTTCCACATCCTCTGTCACTAGTTTGCCTCCCTCATTCAGTAAGGGGCCCACACTTTCCTTGGCTTTCTTCTTGTTGCCAACATACCTGAAGAAACCCTTCTTGTTACTCTTGACATCTCTGGCTAGCTGCAGCTCCAGGTGCGATTTGGCCCTCCTGATAACATTCCTACATGCCTGAGCAATATTTTTATACTCTTCCCTGGTCATATGTCCAACCTTCCACTTCTTGTAAGCTTCTTTTTTATGTTTAAGATCCGCTAAGATTTCACCATTAAGCCAAGCTGGTCGCCTGCCATATTTACTATTCTTTCGACTCATCGGGATGGTTTGTCCCTGTAACCTCAACAGGGATTCCTTGAAATACAGCCAGCTCTCCTGGGCTCCTTTCCCCTTCAAGTTAGTCCCCCAGGGGATCCTGGCCCTCCGTTCCCTGAGGGAGTCGAAGTCTGCTTTCCTGAAGTCCAGGGTCCGTATCGTGCTGCTTACCTTTCTTCCCTGTGTCAGGATCCTGAACTCAACCAACTCATGGTCACTGCCTCCCAGATTCCCATCCACTTTTGCTTCCCCCACTAATTCTACCCGGTTTGTGAGCAGCAGGTCAAGAAAAGCGCCCCCCCTAGAAATGAGCGACCAATCGGGTGACTCGGCATCTCAGTCTGATTTACAGTTCTACTTGGTGTTGGCTTTAGCCCTGATCTCATTTTTGTTTCTCCTGGCAGTGACACTGGCCATTGTGATGAAATTTTATAGAGCAAGGAATCCCCCAGTTCTGAGCTGTTTCGGTTCTGATTATTCCAAGGCGGGTCCCAGATTCCCACCCAGCTACTGTGATGCGACTTTACCGTATAGCTATAATCTGTGTTTAGCCGTAGACTCCGGAACGAATAACTCTAATATTCTAAAACCAAATGGCCAGAAGGATGTAGGAGAGATTATCCTTTCCAATGACAACTCTCAGATGTTTATAATGAGCAACAGCACCTCTGCTTCCGTAGACCAAAAGTCTGAACCTAACCGCGTTGGGAAGGTGAGTTTCTGTGCTCATGCGCTTGCATGCGCTTGTATCTTTATATATTTTAGTAGTGGCAAATCAAGGAGTTATATGTCATTTAACGTTAAACCTGATGAATTAGAAATAGTAATTCTCTGAACAACCAATTTTTATATCGGCTTTTATTTATTTATATTTGTTCGGGGCCTTGACATTATTAAAGTAGTATCAAAGTGATAGGGCAGAAAGTTTTCGAGACACATTGCAATGATAAAATAAACTGTGTATCAGCAGTTTTCCATTTATGGCTATGTAGATGATGCATTACCTTTTAAATTCATAATATTTTTCTTTTTGGTTTTCCATCAATTTTAAGAATGACAAAACCATTAAAATATATTAATTGTATGAATTCATAGAATAAATTAGCAGATAAGTAAATAACTCATAACATCAACAGAAATGCCTCCAAAATAAATGTAAAAATTAAAGTCAAAATAGGGACAGTTAACTAAAGACACACTGTTAGAAATCTGATCTGCTAGTCAGATTTCCTGTCTAGCTTTCTACCTCCCTTCTCCCTTCTGTTCATCCGTCTATGTGAATTAACTCACCATTCAGGGCTGGATATTGAAAACAACGCAACAAAGAACATATACTGGGTTACCCAAAAGGAGTAATATTTTTAAATATCCTAGTTTACATATTGATGAAACATGTGCACAACACCTATGAGATATTCTTGCATTATTCCTTAAATGTATTTTCTATTTGTCCTCTGAAGTTAGAATCAGTGCTCCATGATCAGCAATGGCTGCATATTTGTTTCCAAGGGGTGTTCAATATTCTGGTTTTGAACTATAAACTCCTGAACGGGTGGGGGGGCCGTCTCTTGGAGAGATCATCTCTCCCTGTCTCACGTACTGCGGTAAACGCATTACACTGCAGCACCAGAACTGGAGCTCCATCTGCTGACAGGGCTTTCTCTCTCCTCTGCTTTGGAAATGATTGCTAGTCCACCTGGGCCAATTTAGCCAAATTCTGTTGACCTTTAGCGCATGCTGCAAAGCCAATCTGATTTCATGGGCTCTTGGAGCCAAGGGAGACTCATTGTAATTTGTGCTGGTGTGCAGGATAATTTATATTTTAGTTTTCTGGATGTATGAATCTTAACCTTGCAATTACAGTAGGCTACTGGATTTGATAAAGTTCACAAATATTATTATACTGTGCAAAAGTCTCTAAGGCACTGGATAGCCACGTTTGCCCTATGATGAATGCCTAAATTAATATATAAGTGAACAAATAAATAGAAGATAAATTCTAAACAGAAAGGCGAACAAATTGTTCATTGGAAGGGAAAGTGCATGGAACTATGTGTGATTTCACACAATAATGTGTAAACTAAAATTATTCTTCTTGTTTATTACAATGTGACATAAATACAGGATTACTTTACTTTATTATGCAAAAAATAAATTTGTGTGTCATTTCAAAATGAGGAAATTAAGCAGAGAGGTTGTGTTCCATTTGCCACAGTTTTATTATGTGACTAATGGATTAAAGGGAAGAGTTCAGCTTTACAACATATCTATCATCAGATAATATGTATTTTGCATCTAGATTTGTTTAATTAATATCAGGGCTGTCAAGTGATTACAAAAATTAATTGTGATTAATCATGTGATATAAAAAACTAATTGTGATTAATTGCACAATTAATTGCACTATTAATAAAATACTATTTAAATATTTCTGAATGTTTTCTACATTTTCAAATATATTGATTTCAATTACAAAACAGAATACAAAGTGTACAGTGCTAGCTTTATATTTATTTTTGATTACATGAATTTGCACTGTAAAAAAACAAAAGAAATAGTATTTTTCAAATCACCTAATACAAATACTGTAATGTGATCTCTTTATCATGAAAGCTGAATTTAAAAACATAGAATTATATAAAAATACCCTGCATTCAAAAATAAAACAATATAAAACTTTAGAGCCTACAAGTCCACTCAGTCCTACTTCTTGTTCAGCCAGTCACTCAGACAAAGAAGTTTGTTTACATTTTCAGGAGATAATGCTGCCCTCTTCTTGTTTACAATGTGACCTGAAAGTGAGAACAGGCATCCTCATGGCACTGTTGTAGCCAGCGTTACATGCCAGATGTGTTAAAGATTCATATGTCTCTTCATGCTTCAACCACCATTCCAGGGGACATGCGCACATGGTTACGATAGGTTCTGCTCCATAACAATCCAAAGCAGTACAGACTGACCCATGTTCATTTTCATTATCTAAGTCAGATGCCACCAGCAGAAGATTGATTTTCTTTTTTGGTGGTTTGGGTTCTGTATTTTCTGCATTGGAGTGTTGCTCTTTTAAGACTTCTGCAAGCATGCTCCACACCCTGCCCCTCTCAGATTTTGAAAGGCACTTCAGATTCTTTAAATCTTGGGTCCAGTGCCATAGCTATTGTCATAAATATAAAGGGAAGGGTAACCACCTTTAAATCCCTCCTGGCCAGAGGCAAAACCCTTTCACCTGTAAAGGGTTAAGAAGCTAAGATAACCTCACTGGCACCTGACCAAAATGACCAATGAGGAGACAAGATACTTTCAAAGCTGGAGGGGCAGGGGGAACAAAAGGTCTCTCTGTCTGTGTGGTGCTTTTGCGGGGAACAGATCAGGAAAGCTCTTCAGAACTCCTGTAAAAAGTTAGTAAGTAATTTAGCTAGAAATGCGTTAGATTTCCTTTTGCTTAATGGCTGGTAAAATAACCCTGCTGAATGGAATGTGTATTCCTGTTTTTGTGTCTTTTTGTAACTTCAGGTTTTGCCAAGAGGGATTCTCTAGGTTTTGAATCTGATTACCCTGTAACCATCCTGATTTTACAGAGGTGATTCTTTTACCTTTTCTTTAACTAAAATTCTTCTTTTAAGAACCTGATTGTTTTTCATTGTTCTTAAGATCCAAGGGTTTGGGTCTGTGTTCACCTGTACAAATTGGTGAGGATTTTTATCAAGCCCTCCCCAGGAAAGGGGGTGTAGGGCTTGGGGGGATATTTTGGGAGAGACATCTCCAAGTGGGCTCTTTCCCTGTTCTTTGTTAACAGGCTTGGTGGTGGCAGCATACTGTTCAAGGCCAAGGCAAAGTTTGTACCTTGAGGAAGTTTTTAACCTAAGCTCATAGGAATAAACTTAGGGGGTCTTTCATGCAGGTCCCCACAGCTGTACCCTAGAGTTCAGAGTGGGGAAGGAACCTTGACAGCTATCTTTAGAAATCTCATATTGGTACCTTCTTTGCCTTTTGTGAAATCTGCAGTGAAAGTGTTCTCAAAAATGAACAACATGTGCTGGGTCATCATTTGAAACTGCTGTCACAGGAAATACATGGCAGAATGCGGGTAGAACAGAGCAGGGGACAGACAATTCTCCCCCAAGCAGTTCAGTCACCAATGTACTTAACCCATTATTTTTTTAACAAGCATCATCAGCATGGAAGCCTGTCCTCTGGAACGGTGACCGAAGCATGATGGGGCATACAAAAACAAATAACATCACCTGTTCTCACTGTCAGGTGACATTGTAAATAAGAAGCGGCCAACATTATCTCCCTTAAATGTAAACAAACTTGTTTCTCTTAGGGATTGGCCAACAAGAAGTAGGACTGAGTGGACTTGAAGGCTCTAAAGTTTTGCATTATTTTGTTTTTGAGTGCAGATATGTAACAAAAAAAATCTACACATGTAAATTGCACTTCCACAACAGAGATTGCACTACACTACTTGTATGAGGTGAATTGAAAAATACTATTTCTTTTGTTTATCATTTTACAGTGCAAATAATATAAAAGTTATTTGCACTGTAATAAAAATAATATACACTTTGATTTCAATTTCAACACAGAATATGTACGAAAAAGTAGAAAAACATCCAAAATATTTAATAAATGTCAATTGGTATTGTATTGTTTAACAGTCCAAGTAAAACTGCGATTAATCCCGATTATTTTTTTTGAGTTAGTCACCTGAGTTAACTGTGATTAACCGAGAGCCCTAATTAATATATAATATACATTAGGAGACTAAAGATGCTGGAGAAATTAACTAACACACATATTGGGGAAAAGTGCGTTTAAAATTATGTACCTAAACTGCTGCAGTTATTGGTTGAGACTCTGAGTGTCGCTGTTCACCAATCAGGGAGACAAATGCGAGGAGAGATCAGGCCAGCCCCTGCCCGCTATAACAGATCGCACAACACACAGACCAGACAGTCTTTGAAAAATCCAGGATACACAGTACAGCACAGCTGCACTAAACCCCCGGGGAAGCTCTAGATCCACGAACTACTGATTGAAAAGCAGGATTTTTATTTTTATTTTTTTACTATTTTTATATACTGTTCGGACACACGGACTCTGAGGCATCTATTTCCAGTGCTAGACATGACGGATATAAAGAGGCTCCGGGACTGCAACCGGCGAGTCCTGTTCTGCTTTGTATTTTTTACCGTTTGGGAGGCAATTTCTGGGCACATTCGCTATTCCATTCCGGAGGAAATGCAGAAAGGCTCTTTCGTGGGCAATATCGTTAAGGATCTGGGGCTCGATACAAAGGAGTTTTCAGACCGCGGAGTCCGCATCGTTTCCAGAGGTAAGAGGCAATATTTTGCTCTGAATGTTAAAAGCGGTTATTTATACTCCACGGAAAGGATTGACAGAGAGCAGATCTGCGGACAGATGGAGAAATGTCTGCTAAATTTTGAGGTTCTCGTTAAGGATAAAGCTAAACTTTTTGCAGTTGAAGTTGAAATCACAGATATTAATGACAATGAGCCCCGCTTCCAAGAAGATGAATTGGAATTTAGAATCAGTGAGTTAGTCGCTGTGGGAACCCGATATTCTCTTGAGGGGGCGCAGGATCCAGATATCGGAATTAATTCTGTGCAGGGCTATAATCTCAGCAGTAACAAACACTTCTCTCTGGATGTGCAAACGGGAGCTGATGGAGACAAATATGCCGAACTGGTGCTGGAAAAGTCTCTAGACCGGGAAGAACAAGATGTTCACGATCTAATCCTCACAGCCACTGACGGTGGAGATCCAGTTAGGTCCGGAACTGCACAGATCCGCGTTGTTGTCCTTGACGCAAATGACAATGCACCAGTTTTCAGTCAGCCTGTCTATAAAGTGAGTGTTTTGGAAAATGTGCCCGTCGGGTCTCTGCTGCTGACAGTAAACGCCACAGATCCGGACGAAGCGATAAATTCGGAGGTCACATATTCACTCCGGAAGATGAAAGACAAAGCGTCCCAGATATTCCAGGTGGATTCTAAAACGGGGGAAATATCAACTGTGGGAAACCTGGATTATGAGGAAGCTGCATTATATGAAATGGAGATTCAAGCCAAAGACGTTGGAGACCTCTGGGCCAGGTCTAAAGTTCTGATAGCTGTTATTGATATCAATGATAATGAGCCACAGATTACAGTCACCTCAGTCACCAACTCTGTGAGCGAAGACAGCCCACCGGGAACTGTGATCGTCTTTATACATTTACATGATCTGGATTCCGGAGAGAATGGTGATGTCATATGTTCTATACCACCCAACCTGCCATTCAGGTTACAGAAATCATTTGACAATTATTACAGCTTGGTGAGTGACAGAGCATTGGACCGGGAGAGGGTCTCCGATTACAATGTAACTATCACAGCCACAGACCGAGGGACTCCTCCTTTATCCTCAACAACAACTATTTTAGTACAGCTTTCAGACATAAACGACAACGCTCCTATTTTCAACCAGACATCCTACACTTTGTACATCACGGAGAACAATCCCAGAGGAGCTTCCTTTGGTTCCCTGAAAGCGAATGATCCTGACTCGGGGGAGAACGCCAGAGTCACTTACTCCATTACTGGAACTCAGAACCAGGAAGCTCCGCTCCCCTCCTCCATCTCCATTAACTCCGAGACTGGGGCTGTCTACGCTCTGCGCTCCTTCGATTACGAACAGTTCCGGGAGATTCGGTTCCAAGTGCAGGCTCAGGATGGGGGTTCCCCACCTCTCAGCAGTAATGTCTCCGTCACTCTCTTTATACTGGATCAGAATGACAACAGCCCGCACATCTTACACCCCTCCTTTCCCACCGATGGCTCCACGGGAGTGGAGTTGGCCCCTCGCTCCTCCGAGCCGGGTTACCTGGTCACTAAGGTGGTGGCGGTGGATGCAGACTCCGGGCAGAACGCCTGGCTCTCCTACCAGCTGCTGAGGGCTACAGAGCCGGGGCTCTTCTCTGTGGGACTCCACAGCGGCGAGATCAGGACAGCGCGCTCCTTTGTAGACAAAGATGCGCTCAAGCAAAGTCTGGTGGTTTTAGTGAAGGACAACGGGCAGCCCCCTCTCTCTGCCACGGCCACTGTCACGGTGGTGGTGGCTGACAGCATCTCCGAAATCCTCTCCGATTTAAGCAGCCTCTCAGCTCCTGCAGACCCCCAGTCCAGCCTCACCTTGTATTTGGTGATCGCTGTGGCTTCCGTTTCCTGCTTGTTCTTTACCTTTATCCTAGTGTTACTGGCCCTGAGGCTTCGCAGGTGGAGAAACTCGCAGCTGTTTGACTCCTCGAGTGTGACTTTCAGTGGAGTTCCCGTCTCGCAGTTTGTGGGGATCGATGGAGTCAGAGCTTTTCTTCACTCCTACTCATATGAAGGTTCTCTAACCAGGAACTCCAGGAAGAGCCAGTTCAACTTTCCCAAATCAAACTATTCAAATACTCTGACCAGTCAGCAGACTTGTGAGATAAAGTATCCTGTGTCAATATCGGCAGATTTAAAGAGTGGTGAAGGCGAGCAGAAATTTGTTCAAGTGAGTTTGCTTCTTTTCTTCTTTTTCTTTTTAACCACGTTTATGTGTTTTAGGAACCGGAAATATTTATTTATTGTAAAACCCATCGTCTTTTTTGGAACCATCACAAATTATCACCTTATGTTAGAGTGATCCCACTTTCCTTACGACCCTCTACTTCCCTTCTCTCTTCCATAACTTTTTTTTTATTTTTTAGCCTTAATTAATGACTCAGGTTCAAGTAACATAATAAATCTTCCAGGCAAGTGTGATGTGTACTTTTTTGTTGACACACAATTAGATCTCGATCTTCATTGGGACTTTCCGACGTTACTACAATTCAAACACAAATGCAAGTGAAGCGTCCGTATTTTTAAAGGGAACTGCAATTGTTTGTTGGAAGGAAGGATCAGTTTACAGAGGGTTTTATAACAACTCTGGGAAACCTTTTTGATTGAGGCTGCAATCTCTTCAGTTACAAATATATTATGTTTACTTGTTTAGTTTCAGATAGGCGTTATTAGATCTTGACAATCCTGTGCTCTCTTTACACCAAAGTAACATAAATCTCACGAAATCCACCGGACCAGATTTAGGTCGTTTACATGGAACGATGACTGAAAAGGTATTTTATTTTTGAAGGAAGTTCTGAAGATAAATAAGTTCTTGTGCCAGGTCCCTGATTCTGGACAGGGAAATTTCGTAATAATTCAAATTTCATTGTGCTTTTTGTTAAAATCAAGCCACTTTGGTGACAGAACATACAAACTACACAAAAAGCAGACAAAAAGGAAACCCATACCATTCAGCTTTCCTGAATTCTTTTTGTGTGTTCGTTATATATTCTTCTACCTAAGGATGGACCAAGGAATGCATTGATCCAAACGAATTTCCGTTGCCCTCTCTGTACCTACGTCCAGACTTTTATCATATCATTGGAGCTGCAGTTCTCAGACAGAGACTCAGAGTGCCGCTGTTGGCCAATACGGTGCGGAGCTGCAGCCGAAGATCCATTGGAGCCGGCTGCAGTGTGATTGCTCAATCACATAGTGCAGAACACAGACAAAAGCGCAAGCAGCCTCGCTGCTCAGAGAAACCCTCTATCGGGACTCGGATGCACAACTGGAGTGATAAAGGGATTTTATTTTATTTTCATCGCTGGGGATATTTACAATACAGGCGGGATTTTAACTACAGGATCTAAACGGAATAAAAAAGAAAGGAAAAGAGCATAAGTGCAAGCGAGTAAAATGGAAACCGGACACATACAGACCGGATGGGCAGTCACACGGCAGGTACTGTTGTTTCCTTTCTTATTCTCTTTATTCTGCCGGGCGGTCTCGGAGCAGATCCTTTATTCGATTCCGGAGGAAATGGCCAAAGGTTCCCTTGTGGGGAATCTTGCCAAGGATTTGGGGTTGCATGTCAGAGAACTGCCGCAGCGAAAGCTCCGTATTAGTTTGGAAAAGCCATACTTCAGTGTGAATGTGGAAAATGGCAACCTGTATGTGAATGAAAGGATAGATCGGGAGGAGATATGCGGGGAGACACCCCTTTGTGTCCTGGCATTCGAAACGGTGGTTACAAATCCTTTAAATATTTACCTCGTGAATGTCGCAATCCAAGACATTAATGATAATGCCCCGTGGTTCATAAAGAGTGACATTGATCTAGAAATCAGCGAATCAGCACTGCCGGGTGCGAGATTTCGACTAGAATCTGCGCAAGATCCGGATTCTGGGATCAACTCACTGCAAAATTACCAACTCAGTAAAAACCCTTCTTTTACCATGGCAGTGAAAGAGAGCCCAGATGGCA